TCCTTCCGCCAACTATGGAAACCATTCTGTTACAGTACCATTAATATAGCTTCAAAATTTGAAATCTACCCAGTGGCCCCTTCTTTGCTTGTTATTGATCTTGCCATCCCAGGAATATTGATAGAGAATCATGCATGAGTTTTCCCTTGGGTGTTATGACTCAAATGATTGGAATCCTGTTTAGTGGGAGGTCTTGGTTGTATTAAGGGTTTTGTATTGGAATTTAATCTGAAATTGTTTTGTTTCCTTGATTTATTGTAAGCCATCCAGTATCATAGCGCTCAAGTTGGCTATATAAATGCTTTAAGTAAAATAAAATATTGGGAAATTAGTAAGGAAAATAATTAATATTATTTCCTAGGATTTATATTTTATTCAGCTCATTCTAACTGTCCTCCAGATATCTAGCCATGCATTCCCCTGCATCATATAAAACAGGAATATGTGGCTATGAAGGAGATAGTCTCTTAATGCCTTAACTCAAAACATGTATTTCCTATGAAGGCCACAAAAAGGAATGGAGCTCAGACAGATCCACAGAGCATATCCATGCTGTCTCCCACATACATTTTCAACTATGGAGCTGAATGACTGCACATCCCTAAACTGGATTTTGCACTGCAAAAAGAAAGCAACATCCTATGTCTGGGAACAAGACCAAGTTCATTTACATCAGGAAAAGATCAACTATAATTTATTACGACCATCCCTGGCGAACTAAGATTATGTATCAATTTCAGTGTGGCACTAAAAATAGTCCTCTTCTATAGTAATATGATGTCATGCCATCATATTGCTGAGGACTTAAAACCATCTTGTTTTAATCATTACATTTTGTCTAAGACACAATAGGTGGATTTACCCACAACATTAAGTTACATAGATTGGATCCACATAGTATTAAGCCACATTGTTTCTGTTAATTTGTCATGATGGTTGTTGTTTGTTTCACCACCTTGGGTTATATTTTTAAAAGGTAAGATAAAAATATAATGATATCTTTAACACCATCGAACAACATCTGCATTCCCAAGGTCCTTGGGAAGTACTTACTAGTTGCATAAAAAAGCCAAATCCAGTCTAAACAGCTGGCTGACTATGTGACCAATCATAATGAATTTATGAGTTTATAAATTTATTATTATGCCCAATGTCACAAAGATGTGATCAACAAAGCATGATATTCTAATCTCAGAAGGCTTTAGTTTAGTTTATTGTCATTGCACATGGTACAATGAAATTAAATGCCCTCTTCAGTGTACATTATAACTATAAAAATAAAAACACAAACATACATCCTTTACATTCTACAGTATATAACTGAAATTGAAAGCTCAATATTGCACTATACCGTAGAATTCAATATGGTTATTGCCCTGGGATAGAAGCTGTTTTTCAGCCTATTTGTCCTTGTTTTTATTATCTTGTACCGTCTGCCAGAGGGTAATAGTTCAAAAAAAGGGTGCCCAGGATAAGATGGATCTTTAAGAATGTTTTGAACTTTCTTAAGGCAGCGGGAGCTATAAAGCTCTTCCAAAGAGGGGAGAGGGCAACCAATGATACCCAAAGTCCAAAATTACAGAACTCAATAAACCTTTTACAGTACTAATTCCTGATGGGTTCTTGGTGCTCTCTGAGCTTCTTTTCTTGCATTACTCAAACTAGGTAATATTATCAGTGCTAGTAAGAAATGTGGTTTGCTTTCAGTTTATATGCTAGTGGCTTGCAGTGTTGATAGGAGTGGTTTTGGAGGTTCTTTGGATGGGTTGTTTACTGTTAGCTTGGACAGGAAACAGGAAAGGTTTAAATGAGAAAATCCTTATTAAACCAATGAAGCCAAATAACTCTCTATAAAAGGGAGAAAAGAATGGATAGATAAGAAAGCTATAATGGGAAACTTATAATTCCCCTCCCCACAGTCAGCCTAAGATTCTGTAGAGATTCTCAGTTATCCAGATCATGGTTGTCCCAAAGGTGCTTTTTCAGGAGGCAACTGGAGTTTCTTGTTTATTCTTTTGAAGATGTTTTGCTTCTCATCCAAGAAGCTTCTTCAGCTCTGACAGGATAGTGGGGAATGGAAAGAGCTGAAGAAGCTTCTTGGATGAGAAGCAAAACATCTTCAAAAGAAAAAACAAGAAAGTCTAGTTGCCTCTGAAAAAGCACCTTTGGGTCAGCCTAAGATATTACCATATCTCCTTAAATAAGTCTAGCATGTGTTCCAAATTAATTGCATCAGGGGAAATAATTGGAAGGGAAACCATTCTCTCTTTTGCTTGAATATTGGTAGAGCTATGCCTTTTTCTTCCTTTAGTGCTTAGTTTGATAGAATATGGAGAGTAACTAAAAGTTGATTTGAGGAAATTGGCTGCTGCTTTATTCAATCATTGAATTTCATGTTTCTGATATCTTGGATTTTATCAGCAAATCAGAAATGCTGACCCCACCTTCTGAATGACCTTTGTTGGATGATAAACGTGCAATTTGGTTTCTGCGGTTATGTCATTGTTTAAGTGCAAAAGGCTTTTGGGGAAATTGAAAGCTGAATTCCATTTACGCAGGCCTTTCAGCATGGAATCAACTCACCAGATGTTCTGCATTCCAAAGGCTATGATTTATCTCAGCCCAGTGCAAAAGCAGCAGGTAAAGCAATGAACATGAGAGCAAATGGATCACCAGATGGCACCTGTTTTGACTCTGCAGCACCCTCTGATTTTTATTAAACAGAAAGAACAATTTATATAATGCATATACAGTAAACCTGCCATTTACTTGGCAGTGGGACAAGAGATCTCATCTAAGATTTTGTTGTGTATTCAGCAAAGAAAAGGTGCTCAGTTTAACAATTAAAGGCATCTTAAATATAAGGAGTTAGCTCTATGTGTGATATAAGAAGTGATATAAGATTTAAAGACTATCAGCGAGAATGAAGACATGGAGAATTGCTTATGAAAAGCATTCTCCAGAAAAATTAACTAGAACAGGGGTTTCAAACTCGCGTCATCACGTGATGTATCATGACTTTTCCCCCCTTCGTTAAACTGGGTGTGGGCGTGATCAGTGCATGACGCATCCAGCCCACAGGCTGCAAGTTTGACACCCCTGAACTAGAAGATAAATTAGAAGTTGCTGGCAGGGGGTTATATGAGGAGAAGTGGATGTAGAGTTCCTAAGAGTATTAATAAGATCTTAACAACACTTGGTAAAACAGGCTTTATAATGGAAAGTTGTATTTACTAAGAGGAAATGAATAAATATGTACTACATGTAGCTGCCCCTTGTGGTTATGAGCTGCTGAAGACCCAACAACACTGAACATACACATACAACAGTGCAGAACTACTTGTTTCTTCGTTTGACATAGTTCAAATTAACTGTCTTGACACAATGTCTGAACATACTGTAATGCCTCATTTTACTTAGCAGTTGTCAGGTATTTTTTTCTAGCAGCCAGAAAATGCCGCTGCTCCTTTCTTGCATTATTACTGTCTGTAGGATGTTTTTAAATGGCAGCTCAGCTGTAACATAATAACATTCCTGAAGGGCAAATCTCATTTATTTACCAAGTGTGTCAAATCTTATAAAAGCTTTTTATCAAGGATCATGATAAAGCTTTTACCAGAGCAGATAAAAGAGAAGTGCTCCTACAAACAAGCCATATTTAATAGCCAGAGTTTGTTGCAATAAAATGTGGCAATTTGTTTATGGTAGTTTATGCAACTTTCTTGTAATATGGAGCATGGGACCTTTGAATAGACTTTTCTGTTCTCCATATGCTCAGCCAATATTGAGCTGAAAAAAATATGAGGAGAGTAAATGTCAGTCCCCCCTTCCCCGTTAGAAGAAATATCCTTCTGGGTTCAGCTCCAAGTGGGGAAAAAGACACTGGAAACATGGAGACTGCTTGGAAAGATGGTTTAATGGTGGACAGGATCACATGGTTTGAGTGCCTGAACAGAAAAGGGGCGGAGATGCTGCGAGTTTTATGCCCTCTCTGGCTTTGAACTTCCTGGGGTCCCAAAAGAGTAACCTGATTGGTTGTCAGACTCCCAGGGGGTGAGGGTCTTAGCTAGCCTTGTTGGCTGATATAATCTTCCCAGGTGCCATGTGGTTAGTTTCTGTTGCTAGATGGGTTCTATTGTGTTGCAGATTATGGTCCTTTGACAAAGGATTGGGTTTCTGCCTCTGGCCCATTAACAAAAAGGGGGGAGGCAGGAAGGGGGAGCTGCTTTGCCTTTAAAATGTTTCTCCATTTCTCATACAGGGAAACATAATATTCTGCCTTTTTAATATTTCCTAAAATATTTCATTCTTCTAGGAAAGGGGTGGGTGCTAATTTCCTACACCCCATTTTAGGAAGAAGGCAAAGAATTAATTTTTTAATGTAATATTTATGCATTAGTCTGTTTCCTTCAGCAAACATTAGGACAAGACGCATGGGATATTTTTAAAAACCAGAATTCAAGTCCTGCTGTAAATCTTCAGGTAAAATGTTAGATTGCGAAACTAAAGGTTTTATGAAGTGTCCACCTGAAATCACTATGGTCTGAAATATTCTTCTGACCACAAGAATATGGCAAGATTTTATTCTGATTTTCCTGACTACATGCTGTTAAAATTAAATCTCACTTAAAAATATTGTTTCTAACCTTCCCTTCCTTCTTTACTGGCAAAAATAACTAATTGTGTATTTTTATTCAGTGAGTGAACATTCTAGCTTTTTATCTGAATGAAGCTCTAGGAAGCAATGGAAGAATTCCAATTTTTCATTTCTTATGATAGCACATTCCCTCTCCAACCCCATTTTTCAATATGGAACAAAAGATACGAAGGGCTTTTTTTCCAGCGATATATTTTATTTTTTAGTTTATTTTAGCCTGTGTTTTAAAATACAGACCAGTAGACCACACAACACTTGGAATTAGAGAAAGCAGGATCTTGTACGCCAGTCAACATCAATGTCCCATATTCTTGTGAAAAATATAAATATAATATAAACTCTCTTGAATCAAATCCACGCCATTGTCTTCCTTTGGGATGTTTTCAAAAGTCAGCCCAGTATCTTTTAAAAGCGTGGGAAGTTGTTTTGAAAAATGCGTCATTAAAATGGACATAACACAACAGCCGCAACTACAACCGCCATCAGATTAGCGTCTTCGCGGGGCAAGTTTGCAATTCGAGTCAAAGTTGTACGGCGACTCTTCAAACAGCAGCTTTAAATCACAGCCGAACAGAAATCCTCTACCGCTACAACTTCAGAGACTTAAGCCCATAGAAGTAAGAAAGGGGAAGAGGATGGCTCTACAGTCTACCCTAATCGTATCTCTATATGCTTTTCAGGAAGTTGAACAAAGAGAGCAGGCGATCGCTCGCTGCTTGTGTCTGGAGCGGGCTCAGCTTGTCAAAGGTTGGTCTTTTGAAAGGAAGGACTCGTTCTTTTCTAATAATGCAGCTAAGACTGGTCGGACTCCCGTTGCTGGTTTCTAGACGATGTGTGAATTTGCAGGTTTCTCTTGTTTTAATCCAGTGTTTTTCAATCTAATCGACCTTTAGGTGGGTGACTTCAACACCCAGAATTCCCTAGGCAGGAGCATAATACGGCTTACTGCATTGCATGTTTGGCCATAACAAGTTCATTTATTTATTTATTTGTACCCCACCCGTATTTTTGCAAATTAATAAAAACAATTGGATCTCAGCACAGAACGTGGATAGCTCATGGTTCATATTTGGATGATGCATATCAAAATATCTGGTCTGCGAACTTTTCCAGTTTTATTCCTGTACCCTGATACAACCTGAGTATTGCATTTTCCTGTAGGTTCTAGCCTGATCAAGAAAATGTACAGATCAGAAGAAGATCTGTGATTGGAGCTTGTATGTGTGTGCTATACAACCAAACTGTCCTAAAAATTGGAGCTAGGCCAGGGAAGGTTGGGGAAATGAAGTCGAAACCTCACCCCAGAATTGTATGGCTAAAATAAATGGAGTAGGTTTTCAGAAATTTAAATTACAATTCTTTAAATTCCCAGAAAAACAGATAAAGTGCGATAATCTACTATTGAAAATACTATTTATTTTTAAGTCATTTCATCATTCTGAGTTGCCTTTAAATTAATAAATAAAACTGAGGTCTTGCGGGAAGAAACTTATTTCTCCTCCTGACCTGTACGTTTTCTTTGATTAGGCTAGTATCTTTTGGAAAGCAATGCTCAATTCTTGTTGGATTAGCGTACAAGAATGAAATGGAAAAGTTGGTAACCCAGATATCTTTTATACATGTCAATGTTTTTCTTAAGCAGTTTCTGAATCGTCTATTAGCCACAGCCTGGACTTCAATCCAACAGTTTGGATACATAATAAATTATATTATGGCTTAAGTTTGATGATTTTCTGATCAATGGAATAAAACTAAGAGGATGGGTGGTTCTTATAGGATGTGGAACCAGAAACTACTCAATTCCCAAAAATTTTAATCTCTTTAAGTTAGAATAGTTCTTCCCAGTGACATTATGACAGTGAATCACCAGGATGTAGTTACATGGTAGTTACCAGAAATCTTGAATTGAGAAATAATCAGTAGCAGCAATGAATTTTTCTTCATTTTTTTAAAGAATAGAGGAAACTATGGTTTACTACTTCATCATATACTAATGTATGAAATGTCCTCTTTCAGCACTGGCAGTGTACATTTTTCATAACAACAGCAAAAAAGACCTGTTCCTTTTTCTTAGGGACTAATAGCAAATACCTTTTGCTGTCTGAGGGCAATTGTGCTTTACCCCCAAATCCTTCTGGCCAAGTTTTAGTATACAGGAATGGAAAACTCTCAATCACATGTCCTAACCACTGATAGTAATGTTACAATGATACCAAATAACAATTCCCTGTTCTTTCAGAATCTGCTACCTGCTGCAATCATCGTATTCTATTTCGTATTTCATTTCAAAAAAAAATTATCAAGTTTTATTATAAGATAAAAATATAGAAAAACAAACTAAAGAGAAAAGTGCAAAGAGAGAAAAGCAGCTATTTACTGTATTTCATGGTAGGAGCAGCCCTTGAACAGAAAAAATAATCAAGTTCTCAGTTCAGAATTGTGGGGAATAAACTAAGAATTGTGGATTGGCCTGGCTAAAGAACATGCTGCCTTGCTTCCAAAGCAGATTTGGGAGTCACAATAAGATGGGTTGATGATGAAATAAGAAAAATTGTAACCAAGTGTAGGTATAATATTCATGATTTATTAGACTGCATGGCCCTTCTTTTTATCCCTCATTAGCCCAACTTTGCTACAGATAGTTTCCTGAGATATCTGAAATGGAAAGCCATGGTTTAAGTGCTGGTAACCAATTAAAATATAGTTTATGAGACTAGCTACAACCAATAACTTTTTTTTTTGCACGGTAGTATTAGAAGTTACGGTGCCTATACATTCTCTTTCTGAAAAGATAAAATTGATTTTTAAATTTTGATATGAAATACCAACCATATTTTAAATTTCAAGGAGTGAGTATGGGAGTATGTGTGTGTGTCTGTGGGTAGGGCAGTTGACTAAGAAGGTCACATATCTCAGCAAAATTATAATCTTTCAGATGTGCTAAAGGAAAGTAGAAGTAAATCTTTCCAAGAAGAGGAAGTTCTGAGCTGCAGAAGTAGGACTGAACAGAATGATTAAAATAATTGTAGAGAAGTTTAGACAACGTGCTTCTGATTTATTATTCAGGAAAAGAGGAGCTAGCATGTAAAATAGAGGATCTGTATAATAGATTAATAATTCTATGCTTAAATTCATGGAACATTTTAATTTTTATTCTTTCAATTATAGTAAATCATTGTGTATTATATCACTATTTTTCTTGCTATGAACCATGAATAGATCAACTGATCATTGTACGATAAATGATCCTTTTAATTGCTCCAATGAAGAACTTTCTATTCTTTTTTTTAACATTTTATATTTGATTGTATTATATCTAACTATCATGACCTTGAAGTAGAAATAAATATAGTATGGTGTCTTTCATTAATGCTCCAAACTTTGCTGAACCCCAAATTGATTCAGCTCCAATACTCTTATCTATTACAGTCTTAGTAGTATAAACTTTTGTCTTACTCAGTCATTAAGAGGGCTATCCTGAAAAGGAGAATTTGTATTTCCATAACACGTTTATCAATCTTATGACATTTGTAAAGTTAGAAAATAAAAAAAACTTGTTTCCATACACATTTTTACAGGCCAAATACAACAATAATCAGTATAGGGCATGGATACCAAACTTATCGCGTCACGTTGCCATCACATGACGTATCACAATATTTTTTTCCTTTTGCAGAGCTGGGGTGGGCGTTGCCTATACGTGACACTTCCAGCCTGCAGGCAGCCAGTTTGATACCCCTGGTATAGAGTAAACTCCATTTCCCAATAGTATTTTGTATAATGTGCACATAACTAAGGGTATTTGTTCTTGTTCAAATGATATTTGCTTATAGTAGCATCTATGCACATTCAGTAGTGATTTGGTATAGATATAGTGAATGTCATTTCTGCTATGTAATATTTGACTGAAATTTCTTATTTCATTCTCTGGAAGAGGAAAGAACCATAGTATTGGAAAAGAAAACAGTGTGCTGCTTCACGATCAGAGGTGGCAATAAATAGGATTTTAATTCTCATGTTTTAGATTACAATTCTTCAGGGTATCAAAAAAGCATTTTAGTTCATTTATACTGTTTATGAACTTAATTCAAATATAACACTAGAGTAGGGATGGACAACTTATACAGATATTTCTCAACTTACAACTACTTGTTTAGTGACTGTTTAAAGTTGTGATGGACACCCCCAAACAGCTACTTATGACTCGGTTCTGAAGTTACAATGTTTGTTTCCCAATCACGTGACTTACATTTTGGGTAACCTGCATTTATGATTGTTTGCAATGCCCCAGGGTCACATGGATACAATTTATAATGGTTTTTTTTTCCAGAAACCAGCATTTACTTTGATTTTCGGGGGGGGGGACGCCCATTGCAAACAATGGGTTCACTTAATGACTGCAGTGTTCATTTAATGACCACTGCTACAAAGGTCATAAAATTGGGTCCAGTCATGTGATAGATTCACTTTGTGTCCATCATGACTTATATAATTATGGTTATAATTGCCAGGCTCAATTATGGTTATAAGTCAAGGATTGCCTGTATCTAACTGTTTTGGTTTCAGTTGTCTGTTCTGGTTTTAAACTATGTTTTATCATTAATTGCACAAGTCTGCACTCTGCTCCTTCTATCCTCTTTCAGCATATCCTGGAAGAGCAGATTCTAAGCATTCATTCTATTTTAATTGATCATAGCTTGTCATTTCATCCTAGGAATTCTACTGAAACCAGGATCAGAATCATGATCATGTTTTTATCTTGCAGTAAGCCAGATAAAGTTTTGAGGATGCCTGCTCCTCCTTTGAATATTTTTTCTTCAGTGGAGGTTGCTTTATATGCTGCTGGAAAATTCTGGGAATCAAAGTCCCCACATTTTAAAGTTGCCAAGTTTGGGAAACACTGCTTTATAAGATCACAATTTGATCCTAATATATATATAAAACCAGGCACACTCATGCTGATAAACACATGCAGACCTTACATTTTAAACTATATATAAGATGGTTATTTTTCTGGAGTGATTAATGCTACTCTGTAGGCTCTAATAGTTATTCTTTCATTTTGTCTAATGTTTATCCTTGGACAAAAACAGTCCATAGCCTTTGGTCTGCTTCTGTTCAATTAACATCCTTCCCATGTGCCTATGCCTTTATTGGTGTCCATTATGTGCGAGATACGGTAGAATAATTCCTTTTTGTTTTTCTGGTTAGTTTCCATGTTTCTGATGTTACCTCAAAAATATGGAATTGATAATTTGAGAAAGAATTGGGTAAGAAACAAATGCTATGACTTGAGTTGATGAAATCTTTTAAGTGAACTTATGTTTATGTTATCTGATAGCTTCTGTGTGCTTCACCTGTTATTAATATGCATTTCAAATAGTTGGTCTACCAGTCAAGTTTTTGGCTGTAGCAATACAGATAAGATTTTATAAAAAAGAAATAAATTTTTGCCCAATCCCAGGCATTGTAATTAATAAGGTGATTGGTAAATATGCCACACTTCACCAGCTGGTAGGTCCTAGACACACCTGGCTTATATCAGAAGCTTCTCCAGGGCTACTGACTAGAAAGAAAAGTCAGGAAACGTCTTTGAAAAAGAGTGTCAAACTGCATCTATTGTGCTGCCAAGAAAACAGCAGAGCTGCTGTCATCATGGATCAAGCTTGAATTGGGGGCATCTTTATTTTTATCATTTGTATTTAGAGCTCTTACAGCCATTATTTTGTAGCTCTGGAAATGTGTTTTTTTTTTAAATCCTAATTAAAAATGGGCAACTGAGAAATTAAGACATATTTATCTCTTAACATTACAGACTAATTAATTCATCTAAATTGTACTTGGCTGTTCTTATTTAATAATATAAAAGGGGATTTATTGCTTTGCTCTTCATCCTGGAATATAGCACTGGCCAAAAGTTTTTTTCCCCATTCTATATTATGTTTGTATGATGAATGATATGGTTGTTTTCCAAAACGATAAATGAGAAAAAGATGCCAGCAGCCCCTGCAGGTGTTGTTTTATGGTAATTGAGATTTATAACACACTTTATCCATATATATTCAGAATTACGATTGAAAGTACCTTATAAAACAAGGTTAAATGATACTTATGTTAAACTAGTAAAATAATTCTTACTTGGTACTCTTAAGTATTAAGAGTCTTTCTTCACAGTTGGTTTCTTTTGCAATTAATACACTGCAGGGTTTTTTAAAAATATATCTGCATGTTTTTCCTAGAATTATATTACCTCTCCATGCTTATATAGAACACAGTTATGTTCCCAAGATCCAGATGATAGCCAGGAAGACATTTTTCCCAACCTGGAAAACATTCAGCTGTCTGGAATTTCAACTCCCAGAATTTTTACCCAGATTGCATAACAGTAGAGGAATTCTAGGAATTGATGTCCACGCTACTAGAGGGTGCCCAGTTTATTCTAAGGTGTTGCAGTTGATCTCTCCCTTTAGATGAGCAGTCAAAACTGGTTTCTATAGCTGCTATCAGTATTAAATGTGAATTGAGAGACAGTCTATGAATCAATAAATACACCAGTGCTAGTACAACCTCTGTTTTCCCTGCCGCCACCCCCTCCCCCCTTTTCAATGAAATGATGAACTATATGAAATTGCCACAAATCATCTTAGAGCAGCTTGGAGACATAGCTGTGCTGTGGTTCATCACACTTAAGTCGAAGATAATTGTATCTAACATTTGTGTAAAACAGACCCTGAAGATCATGTGATAAGAGGCAGTTCAAGGCTGAGTCGAACAATCTACATGAAGAGCTATTGTTCCTTTTCATTTATAATTACTTATAATCTATCATTGTTGTTCTGGTTTTGCTTTCAACCTTCCAATGGTTTTATAAAAGCTCTTACTTGCATGGAAACTTATGACCTGCATTTTATTCTGCTTTATTTGCCTATTTAAATGTTTCTATATCCCCCACTTATATTCTTTTTGGATTTCAGGGTGATGCATAATGATAATACTAAAAAGTCCTACTGAAAGTGAATACCAAACAAAGACTAAGATCTGTAATAATAAACTTCCAATATATTCAATCTGCCCAGGTAAATAAAATTACTTTTGCCTGACTATGAAGTTTATATTATCACTCTTCCACATATATCTCTGAAGAAAGAATTCCAAAACTAAGATACTCTCAGTGGAGGGAAAAAGAGAGAGAGAGATTGCGTTTCCAAGTAGTACTCCTATCCGCCTTTAGTTACAAGCCAAACCCAAGGTGAAAATCCTTGATGGTGGCAAAGTCATTTCTTTGTTATTACTATCTAGTTTTCTATGGTCTTCATTTTTTGTTCCTCCACTTTTGTGTTTTTGTCTGTGTTTTCTCTTTCAACTTTCTTCCTAGAAGTTACTTTTCTTGCTTGCTTCATAGGCCCTTTTTTCAAACTCATCATATTCTTGTAACCATTGTGTTTAATATGAATTTCTATGTAGCTTGGTTGTGTATTGGGATTTTGGGGAACTGCCTAAAGTTGGTTTTTGTGCGTCTAAAGCCATTGCCAAAGCAGTAAAAGATTTCAACTTTTAAAAAATTGTCTCACCAAATGACAGATGGTTAGAGTCACATTTAGTCTACTAACACTATAAAGAAGAATTATACTGCAGTTTAATTTTTACCCTTACAATGATGTCTCATTATAATTTTATTTCTGTCCAACATCTTAAATAAACTAAAATTATTTATTTATTTATTTATTTATTTATTTATTTATTTATTTATTTATTAATCAAATTTCTATACCGCCCTACTCCCGAAGGACTCAGGGCGGTGAACAGCCAAGATAAAATACAAATAATACAAATATTAAAAAATCCCTTAAAATTATTAAATATTTTGGCCGAAACACAGATTAAAACACCCAATTTATAAGATCACAAATTAAAAATTTAAAAAGGAGAGTTAGTTCTTTTAGTAATGCCATGTATCCAATGTATTTGAATTTCTTGAATGTCACTTTTATTTGGCCTACCTCACCCTTGAGGACCAAACATTTATGAGAAATTTCTCTTCCAATAATGGTATTTTTTTTAGGGAAGACTGTTAATATGTTTAGCTCATTATTAAATGTGGCTAAATTGTGCAATTAGAAAGATATCAAAGTGTTGTAGAACAGCAACTGGGCACAGAATATTGATCTTTGTAACTAAAGAATATTGATATGGAGGCTGATCGAGATATATTATGGGACTCCTGTAATTCTTGACTCCAAATGTTCTTATGTAGTGGTAGTGCTATTAAAGAACAGATTTAGTTGCTGATGTATTCTGGTATTTTCGTCCCTCTCAAAAAGAATTAATCTTTTTTACTCTTTCTTATTATGCAAATCCTCATTTTATAGTCACCTGAATGTATATGTAAATGTTATATAAAGAAATATAAATCATTAGGCATTTCCTCTAAGGAAACTGACCTCTCCGTAAAAACCCTTGAAAATGATGTGTGTGAGAGAGAAAGACATCACAATATATCATACAAGATAGAAGAGAAACAGCAGTGAGTAATTGGACTATAATTTAACATGATCCACAGTTCTAATAATCTGTTCACCAATCCTATCCATTTCATTTGTGATTCCAGTGTCAATACAAACCAGAGGTGTAACTAGATTTATCCACGTTACAGATTGTATTGTACGGTGGTGATTATCAATAGTGTAATCAAACTGTAGATAGGTAGACATAGGCCATAATCCATCACAGAATTAGGCGTGCTTTAAATGTGAGTTTCAAAATAAAAAAGAGGGAGGATAGAAATCTCAGTTGAAGTGAGAGACTAGGCCCACTAAAATGAATGGCTACAAAATGTTGCAATCTTAAATATATCTGTTAAGATTTATGTCCCAATAGACAAACTGTGACTTACATCCAAACAGAGAGGCATAAAATAGATTGTTTCAAGATATTTCTTCTAAATGTGGGAAGCAGCACATAAACAAAGGAATAAATAAGATTGCCCTGTAAGATTGAAGTCTTACATACATTTCCTTAGAGGAAAGTCTTATTTACTGGAACTTATTTTAAGGTAGATATCTACGGAATTGCACGGCAAATGGATATAATTCTTTTGGACTATAATTATAGTCTTTATAAAGTGTAGTTTCATGTTTGATTTCAGATACATAGTTTTAAAAAAAACATTTAAACAAGCCAACAATAAATATTTTCATATATTAAGTAACTGCTGCTTCCTCACCCACAATGTTATCTTCATGTTTTTAAGTAATATTACAGAGTAATTTCATCTAGTCTGTGGTGGGTTTTTTTTTAATACTTGCCATATAGGTAGTTCTTGATGTACAACAGTTCATTTAGTGATCATTCAAAGTTACAGCGGCACTGAAAAAAATGACTTATGTCCGTTTTTCACACTTATGACCGTTGGAGCATCTCTATAGTCACATGACCAAAATTGAGACACTTGGCAACTGACTCATATCTATGATGGTTGGAGTATCCCAGGATCATGTGATCACCTTTTGGGATCTGCTGATAAGGAAATTCAATGGGGAAGCCAGATTTACTTAACAACCATGTTACTAACAACTGCAGTGATTCACTTAACAGCCGTGGTAAGAAAGGTCGTAAAATAGGGCAAAACTCACTTCACAAATGTCTCACTTAGCAACATAAATTTTGGGCTCAATTGTGGTTGTAAGTTGAGAACTAGCTGTACATGATTTGTATTTCAGTGAAATATAAAAGCAGCTGTTCATTGCAGTCATTCTGAAGAATTACCAAAACTGTATGTAAAACAATATGGTTAGATTAAGAGAAGTTCTAGATAGAGCTCTTTTTATTCTGCTAATAATGGCTAAGTCTTGTTTTGTTTTTGCTTGAAATAGTGCAATATGTTTATATCACTGTGGTTTGTTGGTGAATTTAAAGCAAGCCCTAAAGCAAGAAAAATGTAATCATAAATTTAAATTCTGCTTATTTCATTCATAAACATTCCCCACTCGCCACAAGTGTTGGGAAAATAATATACATTTGCATTTTTATTTTACACAGTTCCTTGAGCATCACTCATGCATGGGACTGTCTACTGATACATAACTTATGATTGGTAATTAAAACGTATCGTGTGCAATTAGAGAAATATTTTATTGTTTCAACAGGGCAAAGATGCTGTGGCTTCAAAGTTGGACCTTGCATCTCACAAATTATTCAAAACAACTTCAAAGGATGTTGTGTGAAGCCAGTGCTAAACTACCAGTGTTAACGTTGTTCACCAAGGTAAATACTAGTTGATCAAGTAAACCAAATAGGATGGCCTCAAATGCAAATTTAAAACAACAGTGTTGAAATTGAATGCAAACCTCCATTGGCAGCTCTGGCTCATTGTTTTACCATAGAACAGTTTTTCTCAATCTTAGCCATTTTAAGATGTGCAGGCTTCAACTCTCAGAATTCATTTAACCAGCATGCTGACTAGGGGATTTGGGGAGTTAAAGTCCACATGTCTTACAATGGCTAAGATCAGAGCTCTTCAAACTTGGCAGCTTTAAGACTTGTGGACTTCAACTCCCAGAATTCTGGGAGTTGAAGTCCACAAATCTTAAAGCTGCCAAGTTTGGGGACCCCTGGCTAAGATTGAGAAACACTTAGAGAGAATCCTGCAACCGTAGCTTGGAAGAATAAAAATAGGAGAATGTAACTGTTTTCTGGCAGTAGCAAGATTATTACGAGTAGAATACTTTCAACAATACCAGGCTTATCTCAGAAGCAGGCAAACTGGGGTTCTCAAAATATTTTTGTACATCAGATTCCATCGCTACAGACATGCTTATGCTTGCAAAAATGGGAGCTGAGATTGAGCAATATAACTGAGAGAATCCTCATGTCCATTTCATGCCTAACTGATCATATGAAGTTGCTGTATATAGTCCATTATACAAAACATTGTATAATGTTTGTATGTTTTGTATGATTGATTATTGTATTCCAAGATCTCAAGGGTCTTATTGAATTATTACTCCATAGTTTGACTGAGCCTGGATTCTTCAGTATAAGGTCAGTCTGTATAGGGGCCTTAGCTCTAGTACTGAGTTATGGTTCTTAAAGAAATGGCACTTGTACTTCAGGTTGATTATTAGGAAGTTCAGTAACAAAGTTACCCTTATGCTGTATTTCTTGGTTTCTTTTTTTAAAAATTGGATTTATCCCCTCAGAAACTGGACCAACCCAAGATAATTTACCATAAATAAACAAATGTATTTCTCCCTGAGTCAACGGATATCAGATGTGTTTCCCTCTTTTGCCTATAGAAGCCAATGGAGTGATAGCTGAATGTAACATGTAGCTGAATGTAGCATTGTCCAGGAGATGCTAGTTTAGAAAATGTGGGACAGGTCTTGTGGACCGCCAAGTGTAGCTTCCAAGATCAGAGAGTAGCTGGAAGCTCAGAAGGAACAGCAAACAATGTGCTACTGTGGTTCTTCATTTATTCTCTCATACAGTTCTCTCATTTCCTAGCTGGTCTCAGTGGCCAAATATGCCCACATATTACTAAGTCAAGTTCACATATGATTATGCACATGATTAGGACTGTGTTTTAGAGCATGCCGGGGTACAAGTGGAGCATAACCTTCCCTGCTTTCTCCCAATAGGCCAATCCTTATTATGGATGATTTCTTAGACTTTCAGCATTGGTTGATCCTGCTGGTGTGTTCATTTCATATAATGAATAAAATTCCAAGAGAACGACGGGCAGACTATACTTCTGGTTGGCTGTGCTCCTCCTTTCTTGGAATTGGAATGATGCAAACCGTACAGTCCCTGCCCTTCAGCCACTGTGGCCCCTTGATCTTAGCAACCTCCCTCAAAATTTACATATAACTCATAGCTTGAGTTTGATTTGAAGGATTGCAGACTTTGCTAATGCCCTGGCATGTTCTCATGTACCCATTTTTGGTTTCAGATGTGAACCATCAAGCTCTGAGATATATATATTGCATTTTGGGTATTTGTGTGAGTAGAAATCTGAGTGATTATTGAAGCAAGTTGAATAGCTACAAGGGAAGCCAGATTTATTTACATGAATTACCTTATAGATACTCGCAAAGTCTAGCACCCAGCTAACTACATCCTATTGAGTAGAGCATCAAACAGCATGTGATCTCTGTATGTTTGGGAAGAAAGGGAGATGGAAGTGACCACAGATTACCAACAGGGAGAAAGGCAAAGAAGGGCAAGAAGTAAATATTTAATTATCTAGACATCACTGACCCCTTATGCCATTGGATTTACACCTCCCACAATGAAGAAATATATTGATTGCTTACAGTATTAGTTAATGAACCTTAATAACAGAATTAATATCTCAATTCAGTTCATTTGTGAGACAAATGTTTCTGTTCAGAAATAAACATTTTTAAAAGAAGGGGAAGAAATATGCCAAATGTAATTGGATTTCAGCCTATTTTATTTAGCTGATATGATTCAGGCAAATTGAGCTAAATTTTTATTCTTACATGTGATTGTAATATAACAAAGTTGTTTCAGTGCTAGTTATCTATGTGGCCTATACTCTAAATAGAAAAGAAATGAAGAATAATAGTATGATGGGGAAAGGGGTAATTGTTAACTATGAAAAATGCAAAGCCTTAACTATAGCATATGCTGAGTCTTAATGATGCATGTGTTATAGCATGGTGCAGTCTGAAATTCAGTCAGCACCAAAGCTTGTTTAGGTGACTCATTAGGGCCAGTCACTCTTTTTCAGCCCAATCTACTTCATAGAATTGCTATTATAAAAAAAAATAGGATGAGGAAGCATTATCTAGTAGATGTATGATAGAGAAAAAGAAAAAGAAAAAGAGAGAGAGAGAGAGAAAGAAAGAAAGAAAGAAAGAAAGAAAGGAAGGAAGGAAGGAAGGAAGAAAGAAACAGAGAGAAAGAAAGAAAGAGAAAGACAAAGAAAGAAAGAAAGAAAGAAAGAAAGAAAGAAAGAAAGAAAGAAAGAGAAAGAATGAATTACATTTTACATGCAGTCTTGTTTTATTAAATAAACATTTCTGCACAAAATGTTAAAAATTGCCCCAAAAGTAGAAAAGCTTAGTTCCTTAGACAGACTAAAATGCAGGCTTCTTTTATTAGCTTAATGTAATAATCTCATTTTGGATCCATTCTATCCAGTTCCAATTACGTTTTTAAGTAAACAGAAAAATTATGCTACAAAGAATGCACAGAAAGAATTGTGGATGCCCAGAAGGTATGTTTGTTCTCTTGCAAAATTGCAGTGGGAGAGTACTTGATAGTTCTCTAAAGGGGTATTGCCTTACAGCTGGAGGCTAAGACTTTTATCTCTAAAATTAGTACGCTTGGAGAAGATTTTTCTGCGTTTATCAGTGTTCCTGGAATGCAATGTTGCATTGACTTAGAATTGTGTGAATAGAATGGAGATAATGAACATGACAAAATATCAGTCTAGATTCTTCTGACACATGAACTTTGTGAAAGCATATGTGGACTGATAGTCTCACTTGAGAAAAGGCAACTTTTCTTTGTCCTGCACTATGTAGTTCATGCTGGCTTTGATGTACTGCAGGGGCATCAAAATCGATTTTATTGAGGGCCGCATCAGGGTTGTGTTTGACTTCGGGCTGGGTGGCCATGGCCAGCTCGATGTCACTCGTGTCGGGGACACTTGTGGTAGCCCGGGCAGGGTTTGGGTGATCCTCCTACAGGCCTCTGCCAGCGAAAATGGAGTGGCACTCCTGAGCTCCATTTTTACTGGCAGAGGCATCACAGGCCAGTCCTTCACTGTTTCCAGGGCGGCCCCGTGGGCCATATCTAAGCACCTTGAGTTTGATACCCCTGATGTACTGCATGGACATGGAAAGTTCAGAATAGGTTAAAATGATCCAAACACATGCAGCATTGAAGGTGCGTCTGATATATTTAAATGGCTTCCAGATGGAAGTAGGGGAAGTGTCCCAACAATCTAAAGCTAGGTTTTGCCAGGTTGGAACCTAGTTGAACTTTGGAATATAGGGATAAAAAAGCCCTTGATAGGATTGCTTCTAAAGATTGTCTCCCTGAATGCCAGTCTCAGAAGTTCCTTTATTCTCTGAAGAGCACTTGGAAATAAAGTGCTAGAGGGGATACTTAGAGCGATGCTGGTGCATGGCAAGGAGTAAATCTAACTGAACACAGTATTGTCCTAAATCCATGGCTACATCTCGTGGTGAAGCAAAAATTTCTCCTCTGTCCTTTTTGCATATGTACAGGTCAATCCAAAGGCCCTTTTCAAAGTGACCCAGACTCTTTTAGGGAAAGGTAGGTTAATTAATAGTCTTATTAATATTAACATAAATAGTCTCTTGTGAGTTATTTGCAGTTAAATTACTTGCATTAGCTCAAAGTTAGAAGCTGGCTGAATAGAATCCAAGAAGTGATAAGGGTAACATATAGTGGTGTTAACCTGGAAAGTGTTTGAGCATGTTGACTTTGAAGAATTACATAAACCCTTGGTAAGATGACTTCTGCCATCTGTGGACTTCATTCCTGCCCTGTTAGGCTTATATTTGCTTCCAGAGAGAGAATAACCCAGGAAACTGAGTTTTAACCTCACCATGAGCTGAAATCATGTCCATGAAGGCTATTATGTCCCTTCATCTTGGACTTATGTCGTCAAACACAAAAATAGTGTTGGCTGTGGGTGAGGCAAGGAAAAAAATATCTCTCTTTCCTTACCTAGTCCCCCAGAACTACCTACTCATTTTTACTCTTTTCTGAGAAAGGCTCATTGGATGGGAACCTAGCAGTGGTGGGTTCCTCCCGGTTCAGCCCGGTTCCCCCCCCCACATTCTTACCTTTTATTTGGCCCCACCCCCAAACTATTGCTGCCTCCTGAGTCCCAGCTGATGGCTAGAGGAAAAAAAACTGTTTAAACTTTTGTCGCGGGGCTCCAAAGGGCCGCCCTACAGCTGATCAGTGTTAAAAGAAAACAAATGAGTAGACAGGTGCCTTCCAAAATACATGAGTAGATCAGTGCCTGCAAAAATAAATGGGTAAACGAGTGCCTGCCAAAATACATGAATAGACCAGTGCCTGCCAAAATACATGAGTAGATCAGTGCCTCCAAAAATACATGAGTAGATCAGTGCCTGCCAAAATACACGAGTAAACCAGTGCCTGCCAAAATACATGAGTAGATCAGTGCCTGCAAAAATAAATGGGTAGATCGGTACATCTCTGCAAGCAGTTAAAAGCCTGGTAGACCAGTACCTCTGCTAAATCCTAAATAATTGTCACATGACCATCAAGCCACGCCCACAAAATAAGCCATGCCCACAGACCAGTAGTAAAAAATTTTAGAACCCACCCCTGGAACCTAGGGTTTTCTAGATGCTGCTAGCATCATCATTAGCCATGCTGGATGGGGCTGCTGAAAGGTGAAGTTCAACAACACCTATAGAACTCCAGGTTCCCTGCCAATGTGTTGCAAGCTAAACGTAGATATGGATTAAATATTTAGCATGCACTTTTATCCCACTGTATAATATGTGGGATAGGATCTGTCTTTAAAAAAACAGTAAGAAGCTGCACTTAAATGCAGAGCCTGAATTCTATTTGTACACTTCATTGAGCTCAATGAAATGTGTTTGTATGCGCCTTCTATGTTACAGGGTGCTATAAGTGAATATTTGACTTCACCTTCTCATACTCTTGCAGTGTGAGAAGGGATACTGAGGGCTGTCAGCCTTGGCCATTTTTTCCCCCATGAATTAGCTAATTTAAAAATGGTATTGCCTCATGTCATTTATTCTTGCTGTAGAGCAATGATGAATCACTTGTGAGCTCTTCCTGAGTTTTGAATTGGCAGAAAACTAGACAACATAATTCTGGCAACCTGTATTCTGCCACAGGCACGATGCTGGCAAATAATGCTGTTTTTATTTACAAATGCTGTATTAAAACAACAAATTCCTCTTCTCTTAGCAATTGTTACCAGCCAGCTGAAAACATTGGATAGTTGGGTCACTTTTGGACAGGGTTTTGGCATAATTAAACCTGTGTTCTAAAGAAGCTTGGTACCACCCAAATTTGGGCTACCTTTGAATACACCTGCACAAACCACTTGTGCCAGAACAGATTATCAGGCTCCTTTTGGATAGGGATTTATCACAATTCCAGAGAATCACCAAATCTGTACTGAAAAGAGCTGAGAGGTGTAGGAAAGGTTGTGCCATGAACCAATAAAAAACTGGCTCTCTCTTTCCTCCTTCATTTTGCAGCCCTTCAACTGCCATCATTGAGAGCTGCTGTTTAGAGTAGACTATCTAGGTGTCTGAGCCAGGAATTGGTTCAGAAGCCTGGCAAATATAGGGGGAGAAGGCATTTTCAAAGAAAACAACTTTCCCATTGCACAGAGCAGAACGACCTTGGAAGTCAGCATTATAAGGACATGACGGAAAAATAGATTGCCAGGATATATTCCAGGGTTAGGTTATCTATCCTATTTCAGGGTTCTAAAATAGGATAGATAATTCTGTCAATGCCGCCTCTCTCATGCTTCCCCTTTAATCCAGGATACAGAATCCAAAATCAACTGATGCTGAAAAATATTATAAAAATTGTTTGAGAGCATGTTAATAAGCTTTATGTAGCTGTGCTACTTTTCATTACTGTCTGCTTTTTCCCCCCTCTTCTATTTAAGCATCCCTGTCCTTTATGCGAAGAAGCCAAAATGATGCTTGAACCGTATAAACACAAGGTAGGTTAATACAGTCCTTTGCTTAAGCAAAACACCAACACACAACATTTAAAATAAGGGATCAGAACATACCTGTTTGCAGAAGCAGATGAATGTATTGCAGAGGTGGAATTCACTTACCTTTGCAAATGTGAGCGCGCCACCAAGCGTGCCACCAACAGGATTGATTGATTGATTGATTTTGCATGCTTCTTGGTAGTTTGATGAAATTATGTGCATTGCCTAAAAAAAGCTAAGAAGAGTAGCCACTTTTTTGCAATCAATCTTTTCCTTTAGCTCAAGCACATTTAGATGGTACCATTTGATGGCATTGCTCCTCACTGGACAGTTGTTCTTTTTTTTTTTTTTAATTTGATTTATATGCTGCCCTTCTCCGGAGACTCAGGGCGGCTTACAATGCGTTAAGCAATAGCCTTCATACTTTTGTATATTTATACAAAGTCAGCTTATTGCCCCCACAAACTGGGTCCTCATTTCATCTACCTTAGAAAGGATGGAAGGCTGAGTCAACCTTGAGCCTTGGAGAGATTCGAACCAGCAGAAATTGCAGGCAGCTGTGTTAATAACAGGGTGCACTAAACCACTGTACTATCAAGGCTCTCGACAGATGTGAGTTTGACACCCCTGTACTAGAGACACAGTGCAGAAGAACTTGTGCCACTGTTGAGGAAACACACATCAATTTCATCAGCTTACTATAACAAAGGATTACTGGGAGACATGTTTAACCTCTCTTAAACTTCTAACCCAGTGTTTGGGGAATTCTGGGACTTGAAATCCACACAAATCCACAAGATTGGATGCCAAGGTTGAGAAACTGCACTTACCGCTATGAAACATCAGAAGCAGCAATAGCATCTGCACAAAACACAGTATATTAAAAATGCTTGAATTGAATAAACTGCCAAGAAACAATCTGATATAATTCATTTGTTTTTTTAATTCAGCAGACATTTTTAAATGGCTTTCCTAAAACTGGATTAATACAAAGTAATAATGTTATAAGAATGTTACAAGATTTTTTAAAAATGGTTTTCCTACTATTCTATATGCTTCCTATTCCTTTTCAGGATAAACAAAGTTATGCAAAACACAGAAAAGGACTAAAAAAGTACTAGGCCAAAGACATTAAAGGCCCAAGAAAGAAATGAAAAGGCAGCATAGTGAAAACTAACTTACTCCGATACTATTTTGTATAATTTTTCATAGCTTTTTTGTCCCTGCAAATCATCCTTATTTTTGCCATATCCTTACGCCACTTCACACACTGCCTTTTGTTCTTTCAATTTTCTTCCTGTTTTTGAGCATCTTGTTAACTTTCTGGCCTTTTCATTCCTCTTGACTCATTCAAGGTATAGTCTTAGTAGGGAATGCCACAGATTGAGTAAGTCTACTAATCAAGTCTATATCTTTCCTTTCTTATTAAAAGAATAAAAAAGTATTTTTCAACACAGATTATTCCATAATAAACTTTCCATGGGTAAATTTGTCAAAATAATCCAGTGTTGTAGGCACCAAAACAAAGGAGCATTAATTTTTAACCTACACAGGGATTCTGATACTTGTCATGGAATCAAATCGTAGCTTCCAAGATTAGTCCCCAAAGGAGCTCAATTCTTAAGTTATGAAGGTAGGATAAATGTCCAGCGATGACTGGAAGAAATCACATCTTTCCCAATAGATAGCTATAATTTGTGCAATAAAATTATCATGGTCATAAGTCAAAGTCTACCTTTAGTCAAGTTGGTCTCCAGAAGTGCTGAAAGAGAATATGTTATTTCTGGACATTATATTTGTGCGGCAGCTGCCAATTTGCTTTAGGGTGTCAGCATTACGAGTAACGCATCCGCTAAAAGGAGCACTATGAGGCAGGTAGATTCCTCAAAAACATGTCTATTGGATACATCATATCAGCACAGCTAATGAAAAGCCAACTCTAAAAGTTCCCACGGTTTTAGCCTAATTAAAAGAGACCTTCCCAGATGTCACTGGTCACATTGTCCAATGAAAGTAACTGGCAGGCTGCTTGATCACTCCTCTCCTCCTTCAACTGCCACTTGTTGGGATGACTTTGGTTCCCACAAGAAAACTTTTTGTTTTGACTGTTAGCCAGTCTATCTACTTCCCCCATCCTTCCTCATTTCAGAGTTCGTGGCAACTATAAGGCAGCAAAAGATAGCTTCAGCCAGGTTCGGTTTAGAGTTGACATAGGGCATTAGTTCCCATACCTTTTTTCCAAAAACAGCCTATTCCAGTGAAAGCCTTTTTCTATTGCTGCCTTCAAAAAATGTTAATACTTAGTATAAATGTATAATCCAACACTTCTTATGGGTAAATCATTCTTGTTGACCCGTATAAATAAAACCTACCAGCGGACAAATAATGATGGATAAGTATGGTGTGATATAAATCTTTTCACCTAGTGGTTAACACAGACATTTATTACAAGCACTCATTATTTTAATAATATGTTACAAACTTCATGATTCCTGTAAAATGCATCAAATTCTTTATACCTTCTGGTTTATAAATCAAGCTTATTCCTATTTATAGTTGCAAATAAAAAGATTGGACACTCTAGGAAAGAGAACTCTCGTAAATTTTCCACCAAATATTGTCTCTATTTTCTCCTTAGATTTAACTGACCTTTTTGAAAATTCCTCCTTGAGGTGGGGATGATGATAATGATGATCTTGGTTTGAAAACTCTGAATCAGAGTTTTAAAAATTGATTTGGAAGTCTCATATACCTTGATTTAGGCTTCTTGGGAGAATATAAATTGTATATTATTCTATATAAATTATATGAATAGAATAGAATAGAATTTTTTATTGGCCAAATGTGATTGGACACACGAGGAATTTGTCTTGGTGCATATGCTCTCAGTGTACATAAAAAGAAAAGATACATTTGTCAATAATCATAAGGTACAACATTTAATGATAGTCATAGGGTACAAGGGTACATTTATAAATAGAAATATAAATTTCTATGTGATATCATTAGCTATTTTGGCTATATCTCCATTAATCCTTCTCTGGAGCTGCCTTCCTACTTTTTTTTGGCATACACCCCTTAAGAGACTTAGCTCCTTTGTTGGCCTTTAAAAAGGCCCTGCCATGTATCTTTTAAATAAACAATGCTTAATTGTTTATTTTATTTTATTTGTTTCTAACCGTTCTTAGTATCTTTGGTTTAATTGTGATAGCGCATTTTATTGTAAATCACCAAGATACTTTAATTGTTATCAATAACGTTTCATAAGTACTAAAAATGGAAATATTTCATGGTAAAATAATTCAGTGTTACGTATTACAGTTCCTACCAAAATAATTGCCTCAAAATCTTCATGGATTTGATTTTGTCCGTTTATATGGTTAAGATAAAACAAATATACAGATAAAGTGTTACTGAAACAGAAGATGGGTTGCTATCTTATACAGCCTGGAAGTTATTGTTTTTCTAAAAATACAGTTAGAATCCCAATCAATGGGATTTCCTTCCTATAAAATGTCTGATTGTTTCTTTTTCCTATTTAGAAATTTGCTAAAACTGGTGCTTTGCTAAGAAGGAATGAGTTAGTGTAACCATTTTCTGAAACTGGAATGATAGCAAAAGAGAAGAAATCTGACTGTGCACTGAAAACTTGGCCAACATGTAGTTCAAGACAAATGTTTGCTTTAATTACTAGACTCAACTCACTGAATTTGTTTTATTCTTTATTTATACTCCAAGGCCTCCAGGAAATAATACCTTCTACGTATAATGGGTCCAGAAGATTATTGGACTAACCACACAGGGCTGATTTGCCCTAGAATAATATTGGGAGGTTTGAACTACAGGGCTCAAACATGGAGATGAAATCATTCCAGAAAGCAATCTGAAATCAGATCTAATTAGGGTGTTTTATTCCCCACTGCCATTTTACAAGTCTTTTGTCTTCTCAAATGGAAGCAGTTGAGATCTCTCCAGCCTAATAAGCAACTTTTCTATAAGTGACTCATCTAGGATGCTTGACAAAAAAGACCAAGAATGATTATGTTCACAGAACATACTTACTAAATCAATATAATTCAGGGAATTAACACAAACCTAAGCTCACATAGTAGACTCCAACATAAACTAATCCTATGAGCTGCATTCTTCCAACATGCTAGGCTAAAATATGATTGACTAGGTTGCAGTTCAAGTTATTGTGCAAATATAGACTATATGCAGTCTTTCATCACGCTGCCAGCAAATTTCAAAATTACTTGTTCATTTGTAATCTAATTGCCTCTGTAGACAAATTGGGAAACTGTTTCTCACGATATTTTTATCTATAGCAGTAGTCCTTACTGGGGTCCCCAAATCCTCTTATTCAAATCATTCAAAATTCTTGCTGAAAGAAATAAACCTAATCAGTTTTTTCAACATAAGTATTACTTTACAACCTACATAGATTTTCGTTGAGATCTCTTCAAATCTTTTAGTATGATTTATTACTGTGCTTTTCTAATGTTTGGCTGCTAGCTATTTTATTGTCCATTTGTTTTTGTTTTTACAGTTTACTTTGGAGGAAATAGATATAACTCTACCTAATCATTCAGTCTGGCTTGAAAAATACAAGTATGAAATACCTGTCTTTCATCTGAATGGGAAATTCTTAATGAAGCATCGAGTAGATACACAAAAACTAGAAAATCATCTTTTGAATTTAGAATTACAAGATGAAAGAAACAAATGAAGCAAAATGAAGATATTTAACTGCAAGCCATAAGGATTGCATTGATCACTTTTGTATTGCCTTTTGTACAAACAAAAACATACCCTGCAAATTTTATAATCAACTATCAAGAGTTGTGTTTGATGACATATTTATTTTACATTGACTATGTTCTTCACTGACAGTAAACACAACACACATTTTAGAATTTTTTTCAATTGTCACACATCTCATATACGCTTTAGACTTTATGCTACTACTATACAGTGGCATATAATTGTATTAATAAAAGTGAAGCAGCATAAAATAATGTTCTAAAATAATTGAAACAATCTGAATCCAAGGAAACTTATTATCAATTTCACCTTCATTCTTATATTTGTTGTTAAACATTATATAACTTTCCTTGGATAGCAGTTTGCATAGCTAACAATAGATTTAAACCTTAGGCTAAAATTATATAGCAGCCTTTCCTTCTAAATATGTTGGACTTCATAACTTCCATTCTTCTGTTGGCTTGGAATTCAGTGCATCCGGAAGGTTTCAACTTGAGAGAACTTGCCTAGATTTTAAGGATAACACTGATGGTCCTCAACTTACAACCATTTGTTTAGTGACTATGCAAAGTTAAAACAGCACTGAAAAAACTGACTTATGACTGTTTTTCAAACTTGCTAATGTTGCAGCATCCCTATGGACACATGATCAAAATTCGGAAACTTGGCAACTGGCTTATATTTATGACAGTTGCAATGTCCTGGGATCATGTGATTCCCGTTTGCAATCTTCTGACAAGCAATCAATGGGGAATCCAGATTCACTTAACCACTATGTTACTAACTTAACAACAGCAGGGATTCACTTAACAATTGTGACAAGAAAGGTCACAAAATGGGGCAAAGCTCACTTAACAAATGTCTCACTTAGCAACAGAAATTTTGGGCTCAATTGTGATCATAAGTCAAGGACTATGTATCCATGAAAATTGGCCACTCTTTATGATAATTGCTTTATGAAAATTTTTCTGATTGCTCCTGGAAGCCAATCAAAAATTTCAAATGCTGTAGTAGTAGTAACAACATTTGGACCAAAGTCCTTTTGGCTATATTGGAAAAAGGACAAATAGGCGGATCATTGAAATAGATTATCTTCAGAGTCTTTTCCAGTTCTGTGATCTCTGTTTCCTCATAATTGGTCTTTCATTAGAGGCTTATTAGTTAATGATGCCTCATTAAATATACATAGAAGTGCATCCAAGAGGTAAAAGCCTACAGCAGTGTGCGATAGCCTCTGATGTGATTTGCTTTTACTCCCATGGAAATTTAATAGACACAACAAGCGGAGAGGTTATCATAATCAGTATAAGTGCACTTTATATAAAGCCTTGATGATGTACACAGCAGTACTCAAACTGAGTCTCTGGCTAGCTTAAACTGATTGAAGGTTTTTTCTAATTTGCGTTCCAAAAGAACTACTCAAAGAATCCTTGTTTTCCCAACAGGCTTGAGTATCTTTAAAAGGATATTTACACTAAAAATTAAATATTTCAGTAGGAAATTTAATCGTTGGCTTTTGGTAAAGATATTTGGCAATGATAAAATGTTGGTAAATGGAGATTAATATAACCCTTTCGTACTTTCCCTTCTGTGTACTTTCCCTTCTGTGCTCTTTAAACCTTTTCTTCCCCTTATTCATCCCAATGCTTTGATGCTCCTGGTTGCTCTGATTATTATTTGTGTTATTTTATTACAACAGTTTAAATTAGTAAAGCATAGTAAAGTTGTGAACTCATTCATCTTCATAAGTGGTCTGTATTGTGAAATATCCTCTTTACCGCAGCTGGAACGGAAAACTTAGGCTGAGCTCAGCACAAAAAGGAGTAGCTATGTCCTTAGTGAACTCAACTTTGGTTTAATGGAGCCTACCCCTTCTATTAATACAGCTGCAGCCTATGCATATACAATATGTATTGCCTAGCACACGGGTGTCAAACTTGCAGTATGTTGCCATCACATGACATTCCGCAACATTTTTCCCCTTTGCAGAACTGCGGTGGGTGTGGCCTGCACATGATGCATCTGGCCAGTGGGCTGCCAGTTTGACACCCCTCGTCTAGCATATCAATTACTACTGCAGGTTTTAATCAGCTTTGAGTACTTGCAATACAATTGGGGAATGATATCTTCAGAAGAAGAGGAAACAGTCTTCCCAATCTTAACATGAAATTAATGCTATGGAACATAGCCTTGTAGTATGCTTATATGCAAATATTTTATTGATCTGATTTTCTGTAGTGAAGATATAGGGTATTTTTTGAAAATTGAATTTAATATTGTAGTAGATTTCCATAACGAACCTGCAGTTTTTTTAGAGGAATACACAAACACTTTATGCACAACTCTCCCTATACCTGAAGAGAAGTTTTCGATCGGTGTGTGTTGCTACCTGTTCTACCATATGCCAGTGAAACCTAAACACTAACCTCACAATCGATACAAAAGGTACAAGTGGCGCAAAGAGCCATGAAAAGTTACATGATCGGCATTACAAGACAAGATAGAAAAAGCAGCACATGGATTAGAGAACAATCAAAAATATACAATATCATTAAGAGAGTAAAAGAATGGAAATGGAAATGGGCTGGTGACATAGCAAGAAGAACTGATGGCAGGTGGACCAAGGCAGTCATAGAATGGATTCCACTTGATAAAAAGTATTCACGAAAGAGACCTAAAACAAGATGGAGTGACAACATCAGCAAGCATTGTGGGTCCAATTGGCAAAAGAAAGCTCAGGACTGTTTTGGTTGGAAACATGCGGAAGAGGCCTTCATTCTGCAGTAAATAGACAATGGCTAAAATGATGACGACAACACACATACTTTATTGTATGCTGCCCAGAATCACTTTGGGTATGATAGACAGCTATACAAACTAAATATATAAAATGTACACAAAGTTACATACAAAAATAGAAGTCAGATTAAAGGTTTCAATGAATCCTTAAGGGACTAGAGAAGCTGTACAGCCTCTAGAGTACAGAATACAAATATGAAATTGGTATGCAATTTAAATTAGTATTTATGTGTAGGTGTTTGCAGAATCAAAATAAATTAGTAAATTTGGCAGGTGCAAACATACAAATATCCTTCCAGTTGATTCAGTGCATTTTTATTTTTACTATAGAGTTGTTAATAAAGCTCCAAAGTGTGATTGACTCATTAGGCTAAAAATTAGAGGAAGACAGTCCCACAGATGATAAAGCACTGACATTTCTGAGTTCTCAGGTTGTGATTTTTATTCTATCAACTTTCAACACCATGTTAAACAGCTGTCTCAACATTTGAAAGTAAAGAGAGTTCATTCTTACAAAGCAGGGAAAATATGGTATATGTATGGGTATTCTTCCAGAGAACAATTTCAACAGCAAGAAGCACTATTAGGAAGTTACATGGAATTCTTGAAATCTGCTATATTCACGATTTTTAAAATTTTGTATCTGTAAACAATTGCACACAGTGTTGTCTGTCCTGAAAGTGCAGAGGCTGTGTTTACTTTTGTGCCAGGGATGTGGTTGTGTGAGCTTATATTCACTAAGGGGTTCATTGCAACATAAATTTGACCAGTTTTGCATGCAACTGTATTTCCTCAATGTCAGTTTCCTTAAATCAATGCAGACTGATACACAGAAACAGAACATAGCTAGACATATCACCTGCAGAATTACTGTAGCTTCAGTGACTACGCAGAAACAGACAAGAGGGAAACTAGAAAGTACTCCAGTAGATTGTTTTACATATATGTGTGAAGAGGTAAGCAAACAATCCATTTGAAGAAAAAGCAAAATGAATTCTGCAATGATAAGTTCCATTTCATAAACTTGTTGGTTTTTTAAAATCATCAATGGTTATGTGACATTTTTCTTGCACTTGCAAAAAGTTTTGATGAAGACTCCTATGGGGGAGGCTAATTTTAAGGATCAAAAAGTGGTTAATGAGCAGAGTAAATAGGACAAAAGTTAAATCTAGGTAGCATTTTTGGCAGCAACATGGCAATAGGTTGCCATTATTCTTCCAAACTCTGTATTTGGCTCTTACAGTTTATTTATAGCGTTGGGATTTTGCACTGGTTCTATCCAAGTACTAACCAGGTCTAGAGGTGGACTCTTACCTCACAACAGGAGGTTTCGAGCTCGATCCTAGGTAGAGGCAGATGTAGGGTTTCCTGCTTGGGCAGGGGGTTGGACTAGATGATCTGCAAGGTCGAATCCAACTCTGTTATCTGACTTAGCTTTTTTAAAAAAATCAGCTAAAAGCCAACCATAATTAAGATACTGAGCCCAATGAGGATCTGGAAGAAGTCATTTGAACCTTAGCTAAGCAATCTGTAGTCATTACGCCATCAGTACTTCAGAAATATATGGGAACTTCTCCTTTTCTTGTTTGCATTTTAAGCCACTTCTTAAAATGCAGATCAACTTGTATTTTTTTTTAAATTTTAAACTACAGCAGACCCTTCTGCATCTAGCTCCTTAAGTGGCTTCACAGCCAAAACTGAGACCGCCATACATAGGGACACAAAAGAAAAACCACAACCAAATCCTTAATAAATCAATACAAGCTGGCTGGGGAATTCTGGGAGTTGAAGTCCCCCAGGCTTAAAGTTGCCAAGGTTGGAGACCCCTGCTTTAAAACACTCAAACAAAATAAGAAAGGGGGGGTGGGACAACTCGGGTGCACGAAGCAGAAGTTCAGTTCTGAAAGAAAGACATCTCCTTGACTCTGGAGTAGCGATGCCACACCCAGTGCCCCTCGCAGCCTGGGAAGAGGCGGTGAGAAACGGCAGCCTTCCAGCAAACGCACCGAGCGGGCGAAACCCCCTCTCCCCCCCCCGTCCCCCTCACGCTTTTTCTACCTGACGCTTGACCTATCCCAAGTGCGCTTCCGCCCTCTGTCCACTAGGGGTCCCCTTCCTCCCAAAGGCCATCTGTCCTCCCGCCCGCCCCTTGTCCAGTCCAATGCTCCCAGCCCGGGCGAGCAGAAATCGGCGGCTGCCACTCTGCAGAGTCCGCCCCGCCCCCTGCCCCCCCCCCTCCCCCCCCCCCCCAACCCGGTCTTCCCACTGCTGGCCGCGTAGCGGAGGCTAGCCGCGCTCGCTAAGAGGTCAATGAATTGGCAGGGGCTGGGCGAGAGGGACGCCCCTGCGTGTTGGGATCCCTGTCCCTCCAGCTGGCTTGGGCGAATGATGCGGCTGCCCGAAGCCGGGAGAACGGCGGCTTGAGAGCGGGACCCTTTCCGAGGAATGACCAGGGGGTGTGGGAGCGCCGGAGGAGGGTGAGTCCCCCGCATCAGGCCCCGGGATTTCTCTCGGCTTAGGCGATCGGTCTCGGTGGACTGGAAGGCTCGGGCTTCAATTGCTCAGAGCCCGGAGTTTGCATTGCCACCGCCAGATTTGAGGTTGTTAACTGTTCTTACAACTTATTCTCCACCTATAATAGTGTCAGTGGGCTCCGTGTAGTAATAATAATGGGGAAAGATTGCTATCCGAGGAGGAAAACCCCCGTTACTTTCTGTCTCCTTGATTCTTTCTCTTTATCTGACCAAAAAAACAAACAAACCCTGGTACGATTTAGTATTTCTGGCATGATCATATACAAATAGTAGACGGGGCAACGGTGGGGAAAATAAATAAAATTAGTTATTCAGTGGGTAGGATCCAAAAGATGAAAACTTTTTCCCCCTCCAAAAAAAGTGACTTCTTTTCCCACTTTGCAATAATGATCATCCCAATATTTAGGTGTCGATTCTGTGACTCCCAAGGAGGAATAGGTTAGGGAGGCTTAACCAGCGCTGGGAATGTTTCTGACTGTAATTGGATAATTGTCTTCCCTAAAGAAAAATGCGGATGTATAGAAAGCTTCTGAAACTGAAAGATGCGATGGAAATCTTGTGTTCTAAATGCTGTGCATTTTTATTACATGGTGCACCACCTATATATTAAAAGCGGGCATGCCCTTGTGTATACAAATATAACCCTTCCCATGGCAACAATTTGGTTGCAAAAGCAAGCTGACAGAAGCTAAATAGCCTGAGCTAAAATGTCACCCCACCTTGATCTGTCTTTTCCTTCTGTCCTAGAATAGCAACTGTCAAGAATAGTGGGGGGGGGGAAAGAGACCCGAGGGGGGGGGGGAAGAGGAAAGGAACTGTCCTTTCTTTCTACAGCTTATTTTGTTCTTTCTTCCCTTTTGGGTAGTTGCATTTGGATCCCCAGCCCCACCCCCCACCCCCACCCCATGTGCAAATGCTTAAAATGTTGACAGCAAATGTTGCTGGTGCTAGCCCTTGTCAGATAGTATTTCTGCGTATCTCTTGCTTGCTTCTTTGTATGAGTGCATGTAAGTGCCTCTGGAGAGATGAATGATATGGATGTAGAATTCTTGTTTGCCTTCCTTTGTTTATGCCAAATGATGGGCCATAATGTGTGTAACAAGAATGCAGTTCCGAATGCCAAGTCTTGAACTTCCCCTGGGGTTGGTGGGGGTAGGTGGGGAGAGATTGGCTACTGTGTGTGTACTATGTGTGTGTTCTCTACTCCGGAATTGTGTACAAGTCTGAGTCTGCCTGTGTCCGTGAACTTTACGAGCATTCCGTTCAGTGTCGCTCAGTGCGGATTCCAGCCAGCTCCCTGGTTTACAGCCTGCAGTTTGCTACGCGGCCCATCTGTTAAAACACACTCCAGCTACTGCTGACAAATCCAGGCAAACATAGCAAAAAAATAATAATAATAATAGTAATGCAAGAGC